TACCATCAATTAAATCCTCCGGTGTCAATATCCGTTCCCCAGTAAACCTCATGGGATACCGAGGGCTCACCAGCACTGGCCTTCGAAATACCACTTCAAATGGGAGATTTATCTAAAATTAGACGAATTCCATGAAAATCAATATTCACAACTTTCAATGAAATACCGTTTGACCGACCTGCCTTTTCGTGGCATTTATCGAATAGTCAGCTTCGATCGGGGTGTGGGAGAAAACCTTAAAGAAAAAGCACTTGTTCAATGGTACCTGTCAATGTGGGTGCGTGTATGTTTGATCGATCGATGATCCAAACCTGATTTTCCAATGCCATAAGGGTTTCCGGTATGTTGAACATGTCATAGGAATTGGGTGTGGGTAACTCGTGACATTCAGGTGGTGTAGCTGCTCGTTCCACTTTCACCGGCCTTTCTGTCGTCGTGTTCGGTGTTGGACTCAACGGTGGATCGGTCTATAATCGAACTAAGTAGTCAACTTTCCTATTTTAAAACTATTTTAGCGATAAAAAATTGATATGTGGGAGTTGCAGGGTGATTGAGATGGGATATAATCCAAATCCCATCCAGTACCGTAATAGTATCGTATGCGCAATTTTAGGCTCTTGAAGCTCTGTCCCACTGACACTGTTCTGATTTCATGGGATTTGACTGGTCCAGGGTCCATTTTCGGAAGGTAAGAGATCACTGGTGAAGGGCAAGTAACGGCGCCTCTAGCCGCTGCGCTACGTTTACTCGATGACTCGTCAGCGCTCGAAGGATCAACCCCAGCCATCACTGAGTCACTTCTGTTTATTCACTTGCCCTTCAGAGATGAACCTAGCAAACTGGTGAGTAAAAAGACTCCATATCATTCGTAAAGCTGCTAATACCGATTACAACCAAAATCATAAAATTAAATGTAAATAAATGAAGTAAACAATGATAAAAATTGTGCTTGTATGAAAATAACTTCTTTTATACAGGTAATGAGCTTTTAGTGAAAAGCCCGAGGCCTTGAAAGCCATTATATAGCCCTAATTGCGTTTGGAACACCCAGGATATTGTAATGGAAGCTGGAGGAGAATGAAAGAGAGCCTTCAAGAGGGCAGGAAGGATACTGTGAGATGTGCAGCCCTGGGAGCTTTCTTCCTCGGTAAGAGAGGGGAGCGCGGCTTCGCGGATGAAACACTAGCGGGGATCGTATTCAGGTACTGCATTCCCAATATTACATTCACGTCCCTGTATAAATTTCCACCCTGTCTTTTTACAACTCCTTCTAACAGCTACATAAGTCAAGAGCCCATTAAAACAGAAATTGCTCCAATCCTGTTTTCTAGGTATTCATCATTCTAACAACTGGTTTTGAGCCAATTCTACATACTCTGGCTGCCTTCTTCTTCAGAGGGTTTCATTGAATAAGGCAGTTCTTCCTTCATATCGGAATGGCATGGGCTTCAAGGCACCTCCCATCGGCGACATGGCGACTGATTCAGGGTTTTTCAGGCCCCTGTTATGAGAATAGAGGGCTTCCTTCGTACTCTGGTTTCTTTGCCTGCCTCATAGTGAACATTTCATCGAACTTGAACTGATATATGGATCTCCCAAGGAAGGAGAAATACAGTAAGCATTTTTGAGTCAACAAAGCATTCCACAGGCCCCACAAAAATCTACTTAATATGTCACTGAAATGCGAAATGCATGGCGCATTCTCGACCAGAGTAAATCAGGTCTACCAGAGAAATTTCTACCTTTCTAATCAGTTCTGACCCGTGTAGATAAGTAGTGAGTGGCACTACTTTATGTAAATCTCCCGAATGAATCCTAAACTGATCCTAGGTACGCCAAGTGAATCTTCGAACCCCTTTGGACCACTAACTTGATAACGACTACTTCAGTAGGACCGAATACTCATGCAAACCCTCCCTCCACGAGAAATTTGAGTAAATCAAGATGCTGGGCACCTCCCGGAACGAATTCGCCCTTGCCGAGCAATAAGCTTCTAATTTACTAGAATAGGATGTTGATGGCGTAGTGACTAGTGGCGCCATTTGTCATTTTTACAGTCATGGGAACCGAATCCGCCAGCGAAACTGGCCCCACCTTCCCCTTGTTCTGATCGTATTCCTAAATTCGTTCGTAGCTAATGACATGAAAGGAAATATCGGCAAAACATAAAAGGTCACTGTGTTGGCCAAACAGCCGTCTAAAGTTGTTTGTAAAAGTGGAGTGAATGGCGCATGCCAGCTTCATTTCCCTACCTGGCTCCCTTGCTCGTTCATTTGCGGTCGGATCTTTTTCCGTTTGAAGATCCCATTGGCCAAAGGGGCCATTGGCATCGTCGTTCCAGACTTCACATTCCGATCACGTTCATTTTGAACGGCTGAAATCATTCAACTGAGGAAGCGGCCTGAGATCAATCCGTTTCTTTCCGGGAACATGCCCCATGCTGACTCACAATCAGGATTCATTCCTACTTCAAAACACTTCTTCAGCCGACACGACCGACAAACATTCCGATGTTCCTTTACCACCGGGCAATCGCCACCAAATCGACACGAGTACTGTCGACGACTCCAAACGCTGAAATGCTCAGAATCAGTGAAAACGCCGAAAGGAGACAGTTTTTGGGCAAAAAGCAGCCAGCTCACCTCCTTCGAAAGAAGCCTTTACAACCATTACAGGCGTTAATACCATAATGCTTTCCGAAAGCCACATCACCGCAAACGTCACAGATCAGTTTATTTTGAGTGGCGCTCAGATCCATAGACGTGGACGGCGAAGGGTTCGCCACTGGAAACCGTGGGAAAATCTTCATAGAAATGAAAATTGACGTCTAGGATACGGTGAAGCTGAAGAGAGGATCAGAGAAAAAGAGCATGAAATTCGTTGTTCGTCGTCGGGGCGTTCGATCAGTGCGATCGCCTCGCGTCTCGACCGACGACGAGCCGAACGAACTCTACACCCCCGATAACACGATCGATGGTGAGACGAATGAAAAAAGGCTCCAAAGTCACATACACACACACTCACAGAGATCGCGTTGTCCTAAAGTGGCAGGCTGGCTGCTGGATGGGGCTGACTGGGGCTGGCTTGTTGGCGGGCTGCCCATCCCGTACTGGACTTACCCCAACACAGCCCTGCCTAGGGCTCTGGCTACGCCTCGCTCAGCCAGCCCAGTCTGCACCACGACAGCCATGATGACGACGACGTTCATTTCGAGAGCGATGCGAACAAAAATCGATTCATGAACTTTTGTGTGCGTGCGTGTGTGTGTGTGTGTTGTACACGCGTCCTTTTCATTTAAACTAAGAAGCGGGCAAGCTGGCCAAAGCTGTCCTTGCCCTTGACTTTGACCAGCTGTGCCCAAAAAGGAATCCAAAGAACAATTGATGATCAGGAGTAAGTATAAACCAACCATCATAACTCGGATAATCGTCGACATCTTCATATTTACCTAGAAAAGGCTCCAATACGGGATCTACGAGCATTTTCCGTTTGGGCATATCTGAAAAAATTAGCTTGGCTACCGTAATCCACGAAAATGTTACGGTACACGAAACCAAGGAATACGCGACACTGTACGTTTGGTTAGGTTGGTTAGGTATAGCAAGATGGCCAAAGTGCAGAAAAGCAAGACAAAAAAGGGTGCTGATGTACTCTCAGGGTCATCCAGAGACCAACACGGGGAGATCGATCGCTTTCAAAAACAAAAATGTTCTCATTAATCGCGTGCAAAACGTCGGAGTCCGATGGAAAAGAAGTTGAGAACGAATGATGATCGGCTTGAGCGCTAGATCAATTTCCGCTGAAAATTTTTATCAGACGGATGATTCCAACTCTATAAGGACCCCTAGAAAATGAAGTACGTAGTTCTCATGAGACAGTACAAACGTCCTAGCTGGACAGGGTTCGCGTAATGAAGGCAGGGGGGTAATCTTCTTCATCAGAGAAACACGGACACCCACGGGAGAGATGCTTGCCACTAGCTGCTGAACGAGTGTGGTGTGTGAAAGCCGAGCTACTGGGTGTTGTACTATGAGGAGTGCAAAAGCACTCCAATTCAATTCCTCGTAACGCCTGGGCTGTCGCCAGCCCGTTACAAGAACCAAGAGAGGCTTCTAGCGAATCCCCAAAAATGTCATAGGACTCAAATAACTTTGTCACTTATTAGAAAATGAACAAAACGCTGTCTGGGAACCGATATGGGACTATTGTTCTGTGACTGACAGGTGCATCTGAACCTTCAGCAGCTCCGAGGCGCCCTTAATCAGCAATGACAAAGGGCGTTGTAGTAGTAGTAGCCGAGGCGATTCGATAAGTTAGTGGAGAGTGGACGAGACGTTAGTGCAAGAGAACATTGATGCAGTTGGCCGTAGCGACGTCTGTGACACTCCCATGTTCCGCCAGAGCCAGCAGAACTTTGCCGGCCGCCGCTGGATTACGACGATCTTCGCAATCGTGCGTAGGAGTAGACTGGAATACATCGGACGGTCGAACTATCGCCAAGTTGATGGATTAAGAACAAAGTGACCGAAGCGATTTTGGGATCGGGTTCTTCAACCTAATCCCGGATAATGCCCTAAACGATCAGAGGTTTGCTAAGAAAAAACGTCAATCCGACCCGACCGTTAAAGCGGCTTCTCAAAGCCCCGAGCGGGTGGGTGATCGGGGATTGGATTAGGGAAAACTTTTTCATATTTGATTATAATTTTCATTTTTTACA